TGGAGCCAAAGAGCACACACACACACACACACACACACACACACACACACACACACAGCGAGCACATATCAAGGTGCTAACAATCCGAGCGGAGGTGTCTCCCTCTTCCTGGACATCCCCTGATGTCTTTTCATCAGTGATTTCTCAGGAAGTCCATTACTATTGCAGGCGAGTACAGCGCTCCTGCACCACAATCAATACTCTTCCATTAAGGTGATGAACGGTCTGTTTCCCCAACCTTCTGCAGTCAAGACAAATTCTCAGCATCCACTCATCCAAATCAGTCAATGTGGGCATGACAGCACTACACCCGGGCAACCTGAAGGGTAAAGAGAGTGACTGACCGGGAGGGTCCGAGCAACACCTCTGTCCCTACAAATGGACCATCGCCATGGTAATGCATGCCATCATTCTCTTTAACTGCAGTCTACTCAAGCACTGATGTTCATTTGTCAAATGTAGCCCGTGGGATGAATTTTTATCTAACAGCTCTCTGAGGGTAAGTTCTTATCCTCTTATCTTCAAACACAATTTGAAAAGATGAGTGTGGGAAATTAAGTTATTGAGTTTTTCCTTTGAAGGGACAGCAAATAAGATGAGAGCCACATTAGCATTTTTCACTACTGGTAAACATACTTTGAATTGTGTCATTCTTTTTGTGAAGGAATACGATAATAACACATATAACTCTGTAAGAATCGATATGGGAATAAAAGAATCTCAAAAACTCCAAACACAAGAAGATTTATGTTTTGTGGAAGGTGAAGACACAGTATTTTAGTATTTGTTATGTTGGAGGGACTGTGAGATTGTGGGAGATTTGGCTCAGGAGTCCGCTCAGCAGTAGAATATACCTAAAGTTTTGTTGTTGAATTTGTGACGTGATGGATATAAATTATGATGAATACATTAAAGTGTTATAATCAGAGTAGAGAGGTCATATTATTTATATTTACTAAAGAATTGACATATTGACTATCAAGTGAAACACAATTTGATGATCAAAAACTTTAAAAGGTTGATCTCATCCTGTTCTGACATCAACACACTGGTATCTTGGCATCTCTGGAAATCATAGGCTACCACAGCGCCAACAGAAACATAGTTCCCCTCAATGTTCTCAGGAAACATTACGAGCTGACAAAAACACTGTTCATTAATTTATAGAGGAAATGCAAAGTCACCCCTCAGGAAACAGGAATTAGTGTACTAATTTTTATGGTGATGGACTTGTTGTGAAAACCCTGACAAAGGCAGCGCCAGGTTAATTTAATAAAGCCTGTGTTGTTAGCTGGCTCCAGAGGCCATTTTCCTCCAATTTAACCGCTGACATGTTCTGCTATCTTTTCTAAATCTGGAGAGAATAGCAGAGTGGCAGAGCAATTACCAGGTGAGTGACAGGCTTTCAGTTTAGCTAAGGCAACAAAGCCAAATCTGCATAATGATCCAACAAGGTTCAAATCTGCCTGTAAAATGGGAAGAATGGTACAGGTAGTGATGATAGATGACACTAATATTCACATTATGTCAGTGAATCAGTCAAAGAGGCGTCATAACTTCACTTTACATTGTTTTTACCGATTATGTATTTGGGTTGGGTTCTGTTATAAAGTACATCACATTAAAAAGGGGAAATCTATATCTATATTGTAACTCAGTTACGTTCCCCTCCACAAGTCATGGAGATTGATAAACTGGTGGATAAGCTCTATGATGTCGTTCGTCAAGTCTGAGAAAAAGCATCCTGTGAAATCACTTGAGTTATCACAGTTTGGGCTTTCAGGCCCACTTCACAAACTGAGAATAAAAAGAGTTTTGACAATGCAGGGAAGGACAGTCTTGACAGAGATGCTATGGGGCAGCAGTTTGGGATGTGCAGAGTTTTCAGGACTCTAACCACAGACATAATGACAGATTTAATAATTGTCAGAAAGCACAAACTAGATGAATTGGCCAGAGGCGTAGATGCAATCAGTAGCATTAACATAATTTTGTAAATCGGCAGATAACCAACTGGCCTCTCTTCTCACAACTCTGTCAAGTTTAGCAGTTATCAAGTTTAGCATGTTTATCGTTGTAGTTTAGTGAGTTACAGTTCTTATATTTGCTCAGTTGAAGTTAGTGGGAGGCAGAAAAATGTCAGCAGAAAGTCAGGGGATTACCAAAGTCATCAGGATTCCTCCTCTGGGCAACGTGGATATCTGTACAAAAATGACATATTCAGGTTGGACCTGAGGATCAACGGACTGATCGACTCTGCCACTAGCATTGCTCAAAATGTCCATTCCATGTTTCCAGAGCCTAAGGTAACAACTTCAAATAACTTTAACTTTTCTTCCAGTAATTATCTCACCTTTAAATACAACTGAAGTCATCATGTGTAATTATTCCACTTTATCTTATGTGGCTGTGGCTTTGTGTCATTTCTGAGTGATTATATTTTATGATTCATGTAATGTATTGTAATTATGGGTTATTTGCTTTTTTTAATTGAATCTAATGTTTTGATCATGGGTCATTTGTACAATTAGTTTGGATGATTTGAACAGTAATACACATTAATTATCCATAGATAATAGGCTCTATCACGCTCACTCTCTCACTGGCCCCACTATCGAAAGTGTATAGTCCCTGTGTGATGCTGCTGTTATGTCATGTGATATAGTGGAGGACCAACAGCCTCCTGACTGTGACCCTGAGTGGTGGCTGTATTTCAGTTGAGGTGAGGAGAAAGGGCAGCGTCCCAGAAGCGGAGTCACCTTTCAAACAAAATGCAACAGTGGTCCCACAAGCAGGAAAATTGCTTTCTGCCCCAAAAAAAGAAAAAAGAAGGGTGACTGCAGTCTAGGAAATGTCCTTCAGCCCCCCCCGATCCACCGGCTGCACCACTGCACCATGCACAGGAAAATATGGGAAGAATACGAGGATTATAAACCGCAGTTACAGCTCCACAAATATCATCTGTGTGTTACTGTCTGAAAAAGTGATTCCTAATCCCTCATTCTCGCCCAAACAGGACTGTTTCAGCTGATGAGTGATGAAGCAGAGCTGACTTATGTAACTCCAACACACTAACGAGAACACTTAACAAGCCATCGACTGTTTTCATTATGGAGCTTCATCCTGTAACCTGGTGGCGCCGGTGATGGATGTTATGGCCTGGTAATAAACGGCTTGGCTGGAGAAGATGTGTCTGTGGAATAGACCGGTGGTGTTTATATCCACAGTCGTGCTGAACTCTTCTGATTCTTTCCCCTGATCATTCTAACATCACAAGAAACCTGCTGGGCACAATCATGCGTGTGATAGTCAGCACAGAAATCTAATGCAGTGGATTGAACAACTTAATCAAAAGTGACACATCTGGGGCAGGAGTTTAATTTTCCTTTTCAAAAATGTCCAACAAGACAAATGTCACATAGGACTTTGGTGATAGAGCATATAGGTTATTTAGGTCCTCCAACACTTTTGGATTGTGAGTTGCAATAGGAGAAGTGGACTGTGTTTGTATTTACAAGCCTCTAACTATTGACGGAAATTGGGAAACAGCTACAATATCAACCTTTCTCCACTGAGAACATAGTGTGTCCTAGAGTGGTGTTTATATTTACAGCCATGCTGCCCTCTGCTGACTCCACATGCTAATGTGATCATTCCATCAGTGCTCACAGATTTCATCTGAATCTCCTCATGCAGCCAGGGCAGTGAAGAGGAGGCGTGGTCACAAGACTGGATTGATCTCATTTAGTTATATGGGGTGTTGGGTTGTTTTGTATTAAACTGAAACGTGTTTCCATTGTGATAATAGTAATAATGATACAAATTACTTCAAACATCTGCCACTGTTTTGCATTTTGGACTCCTTTTCTCAGCAGTTAAAAAAATCTATTGTTTAAAAGATTGTGTTTGTGGTTTAAAAATAAAAAGAACAATGTGATTAAGTATTTACTGTTTCATCTGTTGTAGAAACAGATAATTAAATCAGGTTTAATTATTATTTAGGATTAGTTATACAAATCTAATGTCTTTTTTTCACATTTCATTTTGCACATTATTTTTACTGTAAAAAATGTTTTTTGCTTTTTGTTTAAATTAACTCTCTCTCTACCTCCACCTTGTGGGGGTAAACAAAACTGCTGCTGCTCTGCAGAGTGAGGGTGGACCTTCACCTCTGCAGTGTTTCTATTTACCCCACAGACCTACAGGGTATATCACTTACACTAAACTAATGGTGAACCAAGCTGGCTGTTAGAGGCTGTAAACAAAACTGCATGAATTTATAGAAAGTATAATCTGGGGATGTCAGTCTTTCCCAGCCTGTCAGTCTGTGCTTGTATGTATCAACACCCTGACTGAAGACTTTCAGCCTGGATGTGTGTTTTAAAAACGTGATATATTAAAGGGCTTTTTATTTCACTTGAAGAACCTTGGATATTTTCCTTTCCAGAGAATTGTTCACTTTAAAATAAAACTTTCAACTATGATGAACAGTGGAAGCCCGAGGCCACAGGAGGAAATTACAGGTTAATACAACCATTTCACTTCATTTCCCAAGACTCCCCTGTATGAGTTGTGTACGGACACAATAATTAGATGACCTTTCTTAGGGCGAGTGAACACAACCACAAGCAGTAAACAAGGAATATTTACTTACTGAATAAATTCCGATCTTATATGCAAGAAGAGGATTGTGTTTTTTCTTCCATCAAAAGTTATAAAGTTTCACTTTTATCCCCTGAATCCCAAAATCACAAAAAAAAAGAAAAATGATTTGACAGAGCCAGAAACTGTCCAATCAGGAAGAATTGTCATACTCTAAAATTAACAGGTTACTATGAAAATGGCAGTTTTCAATGTGTTATGATGAAAACACTTTTGTAAAGTCCGTTTCTAAAATAACACTGTGAACACTGACAATTTCATCATATCAAGGTGAGATAAAGTCTAAAGCTAAAAGGTATAAAACAATTATCCCACAACACAAGGACGCTGCAGCAGACTGATCTTTAAAATAGATTTTATTTACCATTTTGTAATTCAACAGTTTTACGATATACAGCTGACAGGACTAAGACATTTCAATGGATTTTGGCCCTACAGGAAGAACAGACATGGTTAGATAGATAGACAGATAGATATGATAGAAGGTACCAGAAGAGTTGTGTTCTCTTTTTCTCACTTGTGCTTTTCTTTCTCCTCTCCTCCCAGGAAAACGATTTACATTGGCATAGCAACAACACAGCATGTCTGTCCACTGACACTTGGACTCGCTTCTTTCACCCACACCACTGAAAAAAGACATTTATCATACCTGTTTTTTTCCCCAGAATGAAAATGTGAATAAATTCTTCTAATTATATATATTTCTTCTTGTTGCTTAAAAAAAGAAAATATTTCTTTAAAGTGCTTATGATTATATGAGCAGTAGTAAGAACTTCAAGAGGTAACATTCTGTAATAGAAACAAGGTAAAATCACAGTTTTGTTTTCTTGTGTTTCCAGTGCAGTGGAGAAGGTGAGCTGTGAATTTGTGTGCAAAAAGTGGTCCAGACTTTCATGTAGGTTATGTTGTTCAGTGATGGTGAGCGGATGGGTCGGGTTTTAACCGGACCCTTCTTCATGTGTGTTCTCGGTTGTCTTTCTTTAGACGGGCCAAATGGGTCAAGCATTATTGTTTTGGTAGCTTGAGACAATAATCAGTGGTTCACTTTACCAATAAATCTTTAATTTTCTATTTAAAATAGCAACACGACCCTCGTCTGATACATATAACTTGTTAAAACGTCAACATAAAACAATATCATACTCTGTTATTATGCAGCAGAGCTGCACTAGAGTGACAGTGTGACTTCATGGGTCCTGATACTGATTCAGTCTTGGTTGCAGAGTAATTTTGGTGTTTTGATTTTGTGCATTTTCTAACATGTTCTAACATCTACACAGAAAAAAAGCCAAACTGTTCATTTTAAGGGCCACAGGCTATGAAAAGGTAAGCAGCATTGTGCGACTGGTGGCACTGCACTGTGTAAAATATTTCATTTGAGTACATGGAACAGTGTTGTTGAAAAAAAAGAAAAGAAAAGAAGCATCGCTATGTAGCTGCAGCCGCCGACTACACCAGAGCTCACAGTAAAAACAAACCATTCTTCTGTAGTTCAAGTTTCGATCCAAAGCTTTTTGTTTGGCAATGCTTTTAGTATCAGCTGGCTTCATCTTAATATTTTTTTTTCTACGAATACAACTTCAGAAACAAAAAAATAAAAAGTAGTGTCATCAAATATGGGTAAACAATGATTAAAATCCAAAGATAAAATATGTAGTTTCTTTCTCTTCTTTTAGTACAAAATGTTTTTCTCTCTTAAAAGATAGACTGTAGATTAGCAGAGTAGGACATGGCTAGTTCTGATAGATTAGAGGTACACTGACATCAATAGTGACACTACACGCCTGCTCTACGCGCAGGCTCAGCAGTAAGAGCTAATCCACTACACACAGAGTTCACGATACACCTGACATCGTCTACGACACGCTACGAGAAAAATGACAAATCAAAAGCGAAAAAAAAATGAAACAGTGCCCACCCGCCCCCCCAAAACAAACGTATCCATCCCCGAAAACAAAAGTAAAGATAAAACACGCACACAAACACACAGTCCAATTATATGTTGCTTTTTTTACATTACTGTACAAAGGGAGGGAGAGATGCGGGGGCCAGCAGAGATGGAGAGGGTCGGGATATATAGAGATGGTTAACATGGCGGCTAAGCCTCACTTAATACATGACCACACGAAACAGGCAATCACAAACAGGAAACGGTCTGAGCTACAGGCTGTCCCAACTGAGGATGATGAGTCCATGTTCACCTTTTTCCAGCTTCCAAGAGTAACTTTGAAGTTACGATGCAGTTTTCAGAAGAAGCAGCACAACTTATTAAGATTAGAGGATGGTGGTAATTATTATTGTCTTAAAGACAGGGTTGGTAATCCTGGAAAAGCTATATGCAACACACCCCCTTCCATCAGCACTCTCGTCAATGCTGCACCCCCAAAACACAGGAACTTGCAATGACTGACAACTACTGGAAACTTCGCTAACTATCGTCACCGCTTCAGCAGTGTATGTCTCCCTAGCCTCTCTGGTTTGTGAGGGGTACACACAGGCAGGCAGTTTTTTTTCCCAGACAACTTTTATTTTTTTTGTTGACGGCTATCAGGACATGGAGAGGATTTCAACAAATATGATAAAACGTTTCAGAAACAAATTACCAACCCTACCTTTAATAAAGCACCTGGTTTCACTGTATTTTTAATGAAAAATCAAAACCTATTACAACATACGTCAAGTGTGGTGTGAATAACTATGGGACGAGTCAGAACCAGACAGTTAAAACAGATGAAGAACTACACAGATCACAGCTACGGTTCTCCGTCTATTGGATCAGCCATAAACTGAGAAACCTTCCTGAACAAAGGCCTGATAAAAACCTGGTAGAGATTTGTGCTTGTTTCAGAATGCCCACTGTGTTCGTCACGCTTTGTGTTTATGTGCTTAACATCGACGTCTTCATCTGTGCAGGTTTGTTCTCTAGTACTCTCAGACACAATTATCAAAATTGCCATTTTATGCCTTTGCTGGGACCAGTTGCCTGGCAACCAGCTGGGTTTTCTTTTTCATGCACTGTGTCCAAAATCACTCACTATTTACTACATGTGTGGTTTGTATTAATGTTGATTTTTACATATTATAAATGTGTAAAAATCAACATTATATATTTTTAAATGTTTCATAGGATTTTCCATCTGCTGTATTAGTGTTTTTATTGCACATCATAATAATGAGGCAATTACCAGCACAGGGAAAATGTGCAGAGTAATGTCCAAAAGGCTTTTTTTAAACTGTTGCCGATATGCACTCTTTATAGTCCTCTTCATTCTCAGTGGGGCGGTAGTAAATGAGTGGGGGATATTGGACACAACCAAGACAGATCCTGTTCATTGAGCGTCAGAGGTCCTCTGCCCCTGTTTCCAGTCTTCACGCTAAGCTAAGCTAACCGGCTTCTGGCTCCAGCTATGAGAGTGGTATTGATCTCCTCATCTAACACTCGGGAAGAATGCAAACAAGCATAAACTGGTCAAAAACTCATCTTTTAGGTCTCTCTACTTATAAATATGCTGCATTTGAAATACTGATGCATTCCCAAAAACCACAACCCCTGCTTGTCCAGCGAACAGCACCTCACTACCACCTGAGCTGGTGTCCAACAGAACTTCTGAGGATGAAACATGTGGCACCAGATAGAAATCACCAAGCAGCTGTCGAGATGAGATTTAATCCATCTTTATAACAACATAAACCTCTGTCATCCCAACACCATAACATTGTCCTGGATGCTCTGCGTGCTCAAGAGACCCCCTCTCTATCCGATCATCCCCTCCCTCTCCAACAAAAAACACCACATATCAATTCACAGATGAAGAATGGTAAACATGGTTAATTATGATTCTGTAGTTTTTCTTTTTTTGTACAAAATAAACATATGCTGTCTTTATAATTATGTACTAAATTACTTTACAATAATGAGAGGTAAAAAGGAGAATTCTACTGAGAGAACAATACTACATGAGCTACATTTCAAACTACAATAATTCATTGATGATCTTTATTCTACGTTCTTCTGGAAACAAGCTGCGTCTCACTGCTTCCTCCGTTAGTCACAGCACAGCTTGGCTCAGAGCTTTTAAAAACAAGTGTCTGTAAAATACATTAAAGGTTCCACTGACGGTAAGAGGCTGACACCAGATCAGTCTCTGGGATACAAATGTTACCAAAAACATGTGAGTGGACTCAGGTAACATGTAGGTAATGTTTTTGGTAACATGCCTGAATGGGGGCAGATTGCTACGACCCACGGGAGACACACACTCCAACACACCTATGATTCCTCTCACCGGCTACCTCTTCCAGCCCGAGTTCCTCCGTCACAGGCCACATCCCAAGATGCATTTCATCCAAAAAAGGAATGCCTGGAAGACTTAAGATGAGATGGCACTTCTAGATTAAGAGTTGCATCCACCTGTTTTGTGTATGTGCGTGTGTTTTTTTTTTTCTCGACAGCGAGGTGTCTTAACAGGCCACCTTAGTGGAGACAAGGTTTCCAAAGGTGAGGAGCAACAACAAACCACTAAGTTTAACTTCGCGTGGACCCTGAGAAACGGCCATGGGATCCCTTCTGTCAAAACTGGGAACAAATATGCTCCGTGTCTGTGTGTGTGTGTGTGTGTGTGTGTGTGTGTGTGTGTGAATGTGGAGGCAGAGAGTCAAAATACAGTTAAAGTTCACTGACGTTTCTCTGAGTTCTCAACCTTTAAGCAGCTTTAGTGAAAAGATAAAGTTAAAAATGGAGGAATTTTCCACAGACTAACAGCCCTATGTGTCAGTCGCCATCTCGGGTGTTAAAACATTTGTGCTCTGCAGAACTTATTTAAAAAAATGAAGCAGCATAAAAAAAAAACCCAACAGGCTTAGTCTCAAGCAGAGATCAACTATGGCTGAGGTCACTGTGTGCTGTAAATTGTACAATAGTGCGAGAGTGTGTGAACGAGTGTTTCCGCCTCTTTTTCTGGCCATGAAGTTGAGACTGCTTCCATCCCTCAGCATCATCACACTATAAATGGCCAGTGCAGGCACAGTTCACCCTCCTCCGCTACGTTACAGCACCACGACAAGGTCTCCGGCCGTCAAATCATTGTCGCTCGAACGTCACGATCCCCAAAAACAGACCCGGCTAACTGAATAAAGGACAGTGTGTGTCTCTATGTGGCTGCATGCACACGACAAACACATGCAGCTTCACAATCTACTGTACCTCTAACTGCATATGCAGGTGACATACACAAGTTTTACAAAAACTGAAAGGAGAAACAAACTGCATTATTAAATTATGTCGGACAAATTAACACACAGACAGGCACGCACACAAACGACACATGCACACGCGCAAATTCTAAACTCACACGTTCACACACTAATCTTTTGGATGATGACCCAATTTTTTCTTCCTTTCGTTTTTTATTATTCGCTTATCTAGAGACGACACACAGATAGATATAGAAGAGGTTAGGATAGAAATAATAAGCCCTTACAATATGTAAAGGTCTCCAGCGAATGGGATCTCCCCCACAGAGGACTGTGGGAAAGTGGGGTGAGGATGGAGGAGAAGGAAGGAAAAAGGGAGGAAGAGAATTAGGAGATGGATGGGGCGCAGACAGAGTTGAGGGGGGGGGGGTGCCGTCTATGCGCTGGGGTTGGGGTTGTTGTGCGTGTTGGTGGAGCCATTGCTCCCCTGAATGGTGAGACTGATGTCATCTCTCCTCTCCTCCTCCTTCTCCATCTCCTTCAGCTCCTCCTTCAGCTCTTCCTTCTCCTTGAGGGGACGGGACTCCACGGTGTCTTCAGAGGCCATGGGGGCGTAGCAGCCTGTCCGGTGCTCCTGCAGGGCGGGGCCCCACTTTGGATGTGCTCGGCACGCGAACTTCAACCGCTGAGACGGAGAGACAAAGAGGAAGACGTCATTCTGAGCAGCTTCAATATGAAGAGACACTTCAGAGAGTCATTTAGATGAGATGATAATATTCAGATGGAAAGATGAATCAAATCAACTCAGGACTAGAAGTACAGTGTTCAACATATCAAACACCAGCTCCAACAACACAGTGTTCATTAATTGACATTTCAGCGAAATCAAGTGTCAACAGGACCTTTAATCTTGATGATGTCAACAACTAGAATTTCACACATATCTTCTCTCCAAGGCCCGATAGTCACCTTAATTCAATCAGGGCGCACTAAATTTTACACACTCATAGATATCTGTTCCATAAATATGTCAGATTTTCATAAACATGAATTATTCCCTGGGAAAATGTCAAAGAATGCAATATTTAAGAAAGTTTTAAAAAATGTTTTCCCAGATCCACTCATTCAAGTTAAAGGGTTCTTCCCTGGCCCTTAACTCCCCCTCCCCCCTCCAAGTTGGTTCAGGATTATTTTTTTTGTAAGAGACAAACAAAATTTAAAACCTTGGTGGAAGTAACAAGAATCCTTGATACACCAAAATTAGTAAGTAGGGCTATAAACATTTTTTTTTTAATGTGGGTAAACCAGCTAGAAAAGAGGCGTTTGACTGAGGTTTCTTTAGATAGTGAACAACACCAGAATCCTGAAGGTGATCATAAGATATAAAGAGCTGGATAGAAACCAGAGGATCTGTAACCTTTGGGATGACAACTGTCTGGAAGATGAGATGATCATATTTAGTTTGAATTCAAGATTGTAAGCATTTTTAATAATAGAAAAAAGTGTCTGCCAAAGTCAAAGTAACATTTGTTCAGCCATGCTGTTTGCCATTTTTCTATTTGTGCTCCATACCATGTGATCATGGATATGTTAATCAAAGTGAGGACCTCCTCCGCTCTCTCTGAATGGACATTGAGCTGTAGGGGGGCTGTACCTCTCTGAAGGTGGCTCCTGGGGACCTGGAGATCTTGTAGAGGGCATACACAGGTATGCAAATCACTGAGGACAGAGCCATGGAGAAGCCAATAGCCAGGGACCAGCCGGGGTAGACGTAGTCATTGTAGGTGATGGGTTTGTACTGAATCACTGTGAAGATCAGGATGAACTACAAGAGCAAAGACGGTGATGAAAAACACATGTTATACATATTTCTCATGGTCATATGTAAACAGTTCTTGGCAAATGTAAATGCATACAAATATCAATAAAGCTAGCAATACTTCATTATGTGGCCCCATCCTATTTAAAGTTTGTGTAAAAACTGAATGTTGTTGCTCCTCTTAAAGTAAAAAGTTTCTTTATAACTCATGATGTTTTCACAGGAAACTTTAGTCTCCACAGGTCAAACATCAGCAGCCAGCAACACATTACATATTTGCTTTATTTACAAGTAGCAGATAAATATAATTATAAATCCTGAGTGTAGCCAGCAGTTTGGTCACAGTTCTAGCAGAGGCCCTGGAGAGCAGGGCATTAATCTGTGTGGTGAAATGAAAGAGAGAACAAAAGTGCCTGAAGTCCGACCAGTAATCCACAACAATGAATTTCTTGGTTTGCCCAGCAGCTTAGTGGACTAATGCGCCTGCTTGGGAAATACCATTGATAGCGGCTGCATGTGTCCATTGCCCAGTCAGAAAGATTTGCTTTTAGAGGTTTATATTGGAAACAAGGCCAAACAGCAGCCAAACAGATTAGTGGTGATGGCAGCTGAAATATAGGTCATGTTCTGAACAATGTGTCAGCAACTCAGCTAAAGTTGAGAACCTCGCACTCCTTTAAAACCAGTGCGTGGTGTCCGTCCTGGAACGACGTCCCAATCTATTTCAAGGGCACACTAAATCTTTATCTGACTGAAACAATGTTGATCACAGGTTCAATGATGAGTGTGTTTGCTGTGTGTGTGTGTGTGTGTGTGTGTGTGTGTGTGTGTGTGTGTGTGTGTGTGTGTGTTGACATACAGAGATGATGAGAGGGGAGATGAATCTCCAGCAGACTTTGAAGAAGAGAGGAGGAGGAAAACCCAGCATCATCTCAACATCTCTGAAATAGTTCCTGTGACCTGCGGAGAAAAGCAAAAACAAATTCATCCACCTAAATCATTTAAGTGCTGATTTCACACTTTAATAATGATATTCAATACATACACAGCATGTGATCGAAGGAATGAGTAGGGAAAGTGTGTGCATGGGCTGAACTGTTCCATTAAAAATACCCTCAGTTTTATTTGGACTCATATACATCATGTCTCTGTGATTTTAAAGCAATCATTAATATATAATTGAATTGAGAATATCTGGAACCTTTATCCCCCCACATATCTATACCTAATTATTCAGTATTCATTATTTATTTAATCAAAAGTACACTACAACCAATGAAAATCAGAGTCAAATGTATTGAATGTGGACACAGTGTGTTCTAATTCTTAATTAACAATTAATTTGCTGCAGCTCAGGGGCCCCACACAGGCTTGATAAAAAAAAATGTTGATGGATGGAATTGCACAAAATCCAATAATTCTACATTGACATCCCCTCAGCCTCAGTGCTTTACTATCTCACACATTAATTTCGAATCTACATAATGGCTCATCAGCTGCAGTCACAGTGAGCAGCTTGATCTATGACTTCTATAGCTCACAAAATTGAACTATAGAAGTCTGACCTACAAACATTTGTAGGTCAGACTTGTGAAAAGTTAAAATAAAGAAGATTATAAGAAAGTTTAAAATAACTTTAAATAAATATAAGATGTGTTTTTTCCAAGATAAAAGTAGCTCATGATATCAGTCGGTAAATTCTAGGTAGAAATGGAAAAGGAGATGTAAAGGAAGAAAAAGGGTTCCTGTCTAATCTTGCATACTGAATACATGTCCTTAGGCCTCTTCAGTCTGCCACTGGTGCAGAAACAGCACATCTGCCTGTGGCACAATGAACGTGGGTGTATAATGGTGAGTTAACAAGGCAGCTTCAATGAATAATTTGTAGAATTCATGTACTGACGTGGTGTCGGAGAATTTCATTCTTGCTCAACTCAGACACAATGACATTTACAGCTGATGTTCTGAAAGCTCATACTATTTCTTTACAGAGTCATCATGTCAAGGTATGAACCCCTATCCACAGAGATAAGAGAATTCAAAAATTACTGAGCCTCATATGTTTTTAAAAAGAATGCTAGTACGTTTTTGAAAAAACACGAAGCCAGAGGCAGATCTAGGATTTTTACAATAGAGGGGCCACAATTAACATAGAGGGGCGAAATAGTCATTTATTGTTAGTAAGTGAGAAGTTTTTTTTCAGACAGGGGAAATTCAGGGCCAATCAGATTTCAGATTGGGCCAGTGCCCCCCTGGATCCACCCCTGGATCTGCCCCTGCACACAACAAAACCCTATACTCAGTCTTTTTCCTCCTTACCATAAATATACATGATGCAGATACACATGATGCAGGAGATGATGACCAGAGAGAAACTGGCAGCGTAGTTGTCCATCAGTAACAGCCAGTAGATTCCTGCCTGCACACAGACAATACGAGTCAGAAGTGCATCTCCGTGAAATGAAAATGAGCTGGATTCATTGTGAGTGGGACGTACCTGTGTCGTTAGCGGCACTCCCAGTAAGAATCCAACTACGGCCACTGACAGCGTGACCACAGTCTTGTTTCTGATGATCCAGTCTGTGCCGATCTCATCAACGATGGCCGTCACCAGGGTCTCCAGCAGACAGAACTGAGAGCACAGGGGTGAAGAACTTATGGTTTAACTTGAGAGAGCACAAAATCCCTCCCTGCATGATCAGAACAGAGGAACCACAATTATAAAAGAATATTTTGTTTTCTGTGACATCAACTTTTACAAACTCATTACAGAGCTGACGCTGCTAACATCATTCAAGTCTGGCATTTTAATCTGAACAAAGTTAATATCCCGCACGTTTCATCTAAGGATATGCACTTTGTAAAATAAAAAAAAGAAACTTTAGTAGCATAATCAAGAGCAAATATGACGAGTCTACAGCCGTGCTTGCAGCCCTATGAAGGCACGCTGAGACATAGGGTGCATTCGGAAAGTCGAAATAATTTAACTGTTCCTTGATCCTAATGGAATATGTCACAGGGTCAAGATAGGACAGGAGGAAGGTGCAGAGAAAAATCGACTCCAGAAAAAAAAAAAAAAAAATGTATAACAAAAGATTGCATCCAATGTGAGACGCTCTGTGCTGTAAGCTGTTCTCTGATGTTTTCAGTTCAGACAAAAACATTGAATTATCAGTTATTTTCTCCATTCCCTTCATAAAGGATGGTCCAATGTTTCTAAGCTAAAGGAGATAAGTTAATAAGCATTCGAACACACTCACAGTCGTGTTTTGAGATGAATGCAAACATCAAACTAATCCTCCCACAAAACATAGCAGCACAACTCATCCCCACCGTCATTTCCTCCTGCCTTGATTACTGCAATTCATTATTGATCTGCCTGAATGAAGCAGCAGTTGCTTCTTAGACACGCACTCGACATAGGGATGCTTCACATAAGTCCGAGTCAAACAACACTAGCTCCCCATCCGCTACAGGTTTCAGTTTAATATTCTATTGATCACTTTTAAATCATTAACATCCACTGTATTTCTCAGAACTTATAACCCTTTACTCTGCTCTGAGACCCCTGAGGTCTGAGGATCAGATGATGTTAAAAGTCCCACAATCATATAAATAATCATAATAAAAAAACAGTTAAAACTCACCTGTATAGAGTAGCATTTTTATAGATTATTAATATTCTCATTTTATTGTTTTAATTGTTTAATTGTTTTATTCTTGTTCCTGTCTATCTCATTGCATTGCTTCATATGGTATGGCCTTTCTATGATTTGCAAACTTCGCACTTTTATTTTGTGAAGCACTTTGTAACTCTTGTTTTGAAAGGCGCTATAGGAATAAAGTGTATTATCATTATTATTATTATGATGCTGACATGATGATATTCAGCAGATTCTGAATGACCAACATGAGCAGAACACACTCGTGATATTACACATGATTTGTAATATCAATAATCCTCTTGTAAGTGCTGACACATCAGTATAATCATAGTTTAGATTTGGGTGTGAGCACAGACCCACGTGGTGCCCAGTTTCTCTGCCTCACCTGAGTCCCCAGTCCCAGGAGGATGAGCATGAAGAAGAAGAGCAGCGACCAGAGCGGTGAGATGGGAAGCAGAGTGAGGGCTTCTGGGTAGGCCACAAAGGCCAAGCCTGGGCCGTGGTCAGCCACCTCGGACACGGGGACGTTCAGGTGGTGCGCCATGAAGCCCAGGATGGAGAAAATGACAAAGCCGGCGTACACACTGGTGGCACAGTTGGTTATACTGATGATGATGCTGTCTCTGTGTGTGGCGAAGAGACAAAGAAACATGGTTAATGTTAATCATACGGCTTCCAAACACAGTGGGATACATTTATAATAACCACTGTATCCAGCTACACAGCTGCTGCCACAGGAGCCGTAAGATTAGGGCAACTTTATGGAAGAGTATTAGGGCCAGACATGAGAAACAGATGTTTTTCCATTTCTTATTTCGAGAATAAAGTCAAAATGTCAAGGAAAAAAGTAAAATGTATATATTTTGTATCATCATACAAAATGTCTTGTGTTAATTTTAAATTGTTCTTCAGAATCAGATTTAGTTTTCAGCACAAAAACAGTGTAAAGCACACTTTACAGTAGTTTTGCCATTTACCCAATCACTCACACAGTGATACGACTCTGAGTTACCATGAGGTCAATGGTCTGTTATCAACCACTCAAAGTTCTTGACAGTACAAGTTGCATTCATACAGTGCTGCTATATGGAGTACTTGTTCACCTAGGACCACTGTCAGCACATCATTCAAGGGCACTTTGGGGATCAGTGTCTTGCCCAAGGACACTTCAGAAGGCAGACTGGAGGAGCCAGGGATCAAACCATCGACCCTCTGCTTAGTGGACGATCCTCTCTCCCCCTTGGGGAATCCATCATCCTAAAGCTTCTTCTTGTGATGATTTGCAAACACTGAGCATGCATATATGGACAGTGTGTGTATGGGAAATAATTATTTATGAGGAAAATTAAATATATGAAGTAGTCAGATGACTGATTCATAAAACAGCAGCAGAAAAGAAGAAAATCCAAGAGCAGCTCCCTCCTACAAGTGTCTTGAAAATCTATTTTTCATTTTTGTGTAAATGACAACCAAAGCATCGTGTAAATCCTCAAAATATTCCTTTAAAAGTTGACCAAGGTCGGTGAAGTGCCACAGAATTGCTGTGATTTCTGTCTAGAAAGCAGAGAAAATGGAACAAAAAGCTTTTTTATTATCAAAAGTGATGCTGCCTTTTTTCTGTATCAACCAACATTTTTGATTATTTTAAATGTGTCGTCCTTGTTCTGGGCAGCACTTGTTTCAGCTGGAGCATGTGTTTAGAGCTCATCTCATCTTTACTCTGTCTCTGACCCTCTCTTGGACTTTGTTCCCATCTAACAGGGGAACCATGAGGCTAAATTTGTTTCGTCTCCTCATATTTCCCATCAGACTTGATCACGGAGGATGACTCTGATAACTTTGCAGTCAGTCCCCCTCCTCACTCTCCTGCCCTGTCTCCTGACCCCTGACGTGCACTTCTGCATATGCACCAACTGGTGGTGTTGCAGGAGTGCAGAGAGCGATTCCGCGGGGACGGAGCTGTGGAGCCCAGCGAGCTGATTAGGCCGCTGTGCAGCTGTGTGCGCAGATAGCAAAAACCCCTTGCTCCTGGCAGAGGAACAAATTATATCTTCGACCCACCTCCCACTCCTCCATCCCCCAACACCCCCTTCACTCTGTCAGCATATGTGTGGACGAGCTCAGGAGAGTAAATGACAACTCCCCTTCTCCTTATCTCCTCCCTTGCCACCTTTACACTGTCTTAACCTTCTCCTTGGCTTCCTGTCTGTTCCCTTGGCGTTCAGGCGAAGCGCGACCCGCCTCTTTACACACATCCAAAAATATATTATCTCTGTCCCTCCTCCTGTCCCAGCTTATCGCACCTTCTCCCTCCCTGCCTCTTCTCTTTCAGACCTGTAGCCTTGAAGTTGGCTCCTGAGTATTTTATCCTTCTCCTGTCACTTTCTCCATCACTCTCGTGACTCATTAGTGGGGAGGCCAAACAGCCAACACACCTTACAACAACGTCTCTCTCTCTGCTTGTCTTTTCACAAGTCGATTCTCAATATTTTTTAATTGTATCCCTTTTCCTCCTCCTCAACTCACCTCTCCTCACCTCGAACGCCTCCTCACTACCCCCATCTAATCTCTCTGATTAGTGGAAATAATAAGATGCCGGTCTGTTGCCGAGACACTGCTTCTCAACAGAGCCTGATGAAAAGTGAGCTCAGTCATGTTCACACAGGCGACAGCAGCCAAACAGACTCTGGCACAGTAAATCGGACCACCTCAAATTCATACAGTTTTAATGATGAGTTTTAGATTGAGGATGACACTGCAGAAATCTCAAAATGCCATTCAACATTTGGTATTTGTAAGAATTTATCCAGCTATATCATGTCACTCAATAAGCGTTAGAGGTGCTGATAAGCTGATTTGTTAACCTTCAAACAAAGGCAGGCTAGCTGTTTCCACGCTTTATGGAACTCGTAAGCTAAGCTGGCTGTCACATTCGTCTATCTTTACCATAAAAACACAAGACTGATATCTACCTTCTCATCTGACTCTGCAAGAAAGCAAATAGACATTTCCAAAGATGCTGTGCAGTTAGTGTGTACCAACCTGAAGCAGTTGTTGTGGAACTTGTTGTAAGAAGCCATGGTAATGAGCCCACCCCAGGCACAGCCCAGAGAGTAGAAGATCTGTGAGGCAGCATCTCCCCACACCTGTAAAACAAACCCACACACAGTCAAAAGCAATGCAGAGAAGGAGAAAGATCAGTTTCTACTTCCAGTTGATTGATCCGTCCGTCTGTGTGATCGATACCTTTGCATCAAGGACCTTGTGCCACTGTGGAGTCAAGTAGTACTTGATGCCGTTGATGGCTCCATCCAGGGTGATGCCACGGATGAACAGGATGGTCAAAACCAAATAGGGGAATGTGGCTGTGAAGTACACCACCTGGATACGCACACAAACACACAGCCCCAAGAAATGGTAGTCAATCGATTGAATCAAAAAACGTTTTGATTTATGTAGATAGCTTTTAATAGAGATTAGCTAAATTGTTGTCCGGACCTAAAACTCCCCAAAAAAGTATCACTGTTTGTGTTTTGTGTGGACAAACTTTCAACTTGTGTGACAAAAGAAACAAATCAGACTGTAAAATGTCAACAGCGAACACATTCGGTATCTACTGTACATCAGAAGCCCCAAAATATTGGCCGATGCCCCAAGAGGCTCATTCGTTGGCAGACAGTAGCCGATAGGCTCCGAGGTTGGGGTTCAGGTGAGGCATTGAGTCAGGAGAAAAATGTTGGGTAAAGGGCTTGGTTGTCCCCACATGGAGAGTATGTGTGTGTGTGTGTGTGTGTGTGTGTGTGTGTGTGTGTGTGTGTGTGTGAGAGAGAGACACTGACCTTTCCAGAGGATTTAACACCCCTGATGAGACACAGAAAGACGACAAACCAGGACACAGCCAGACAGCCCAGGATGGGAAGACGGACCTCTCCAAAGTTTCCAATACCATCAGAGATGTCCAACACATAGTGTCTGAGAGACAGAAGTACACAGAGGAAGAATAAGAGTTGGATATTTAAATATTTTGTATTAACAAGGCTTAAGTTTTCTATTTCAACGAGAGGGACATTTGAAGAAACAAACACTAAAATAGAAGTCCAGCTTTACACTTTTCACTCCACTCGGCAGTGCAAACATTTCATTCTCCAGCAGAAACATGTAATACTTTATGGATGGCCTCCGGACCTTGAAATTTTCATTACTGGCAACGACTCTGCCTTTTCCCCTGATATTTGTCTTTGCTTGGGGCAATAAAAATGCTGCAAGTGTTTCAGGAGTGACCAAACACATCCACAGTGCAAACTTATTCAATGGCTTGTATGTGGTCAGTGTTCCTATGAAAATGTGACTTCTGGAAAGTGACACTGAAAAACGTTATATACGTTATATGCATCCAGTGAGGATAATTACCAGCCACCTACATAACAGTTTGTACTGAGCTGAAGATTCATGGGTAAGTCTAAAGTATAACAACGGGTCAAACACAATGTCATCACAAGTCTGATAGAGCTTAAACATGACCTCTCCCCCTCTCTTTAAAAGTGGCAGATGTACTGCACATGAATCATTATTTGTTTGGGGAAAGGTCGGCTGTGGTTTGTGATGTCAGTAGGTGAAAGGTGAGACAGCTTCAAGCGCCTCAGCCTCTCTCTACCTCCCCCCTCATCCAGCTGATAACCCATTGAATCCTGATCATCCACATGTGTAATGTGACTGAGACAACAATGGATCATCACAGATTTATATTTCTAATCACTACTTCCTTTTTCTCATTGTGCACCCTCAACTAAACAAACGCCTGCATATTCCCTCACTGACCTTACACTTCACCTGCCACTGCCGATTGCACCATAAGAAAATAAGGCCCGCAGAGAGCTTCCAGTAAATGGAAATGAAATATGGGAAACCTGCTGCCTGTCGCTGCAGATTGCTCAAAAGCTGCTGTGCTTTCAGTCAAATCTAGTCCAAATATTTAAATGCTTTCCGCAAACACGGGTCATGTTTGAAGTAAGCTTATCTGACAGGTGCAGGGTCAGTTTTGACCTGGGTTTCTTAGGAAAAGCCGACAGGACAGTCCAGTGAGGTTAGTTGCATAACTTGGGAAAAACTAAATGCACACTCAAGACTAAAAAAACGATTCAAATTATGTTTTTTTGACTATTCGCTTTAACCTAGGCTTTGGGAGTTGAGTTGATCACTTAAGTCACTTTATTTATGACGTTTGTGCTCCGAGGACACAGGATCAGTTCAAATCTGTTATTAAGACTTTTTATATGCAAGTGTCCAAGATCTTTGTCATAAATGCTCATTTTTACATTGTAATAACACAATTAATGCAACACATTAATTAGAAAAATGTGTTGGTTCTCAGCAAATCCAATGCATTAGTTTAAAACTGAACTTTATTAGTTTTATTTTTTACTTAATTTATTTAACAGTAGTTTCAGATTGTTAAATGGTGCTGTACCCCATCAGGAAGTGGAAATTGAAAGCTGTGCCAATCTTCACATAGCCAAGCACGAGTCAGCCATGTACTTAATGCTCTCTTTAGTCAGTGGCCCTGTTCAGACTTGGTATTAACATCCGTCCTGTGGGGTCGATCACAGTGTTGGGTGGCCTTAATAACGCCTGTTCACATCTGATATTAAAATATGTCCTGAATGCTTCTCCTGTGACCACTCGTGATCGGATCTCACTTCCCCACTTTATATGCAAATATACATATATGTAATTTGTGTTCATAAAGATCAGATTATGTTGTTTTTACCCAGTCCAAGTTTACCCCCCAGACTACGAGTTGGAAAAAACACCTCTGAGACCATCATCCTGAACACTGAGGTCCCCCAGGGTTGTGTTCTGAGCCCTCTGTTGTTCACCTTGATGACCCAGAACTCATCAAGTTCGCGGATGATGCAAACGTGATGGGCTTCATCAGCAACAACGATGACCAGCCTAGAGAGAGGAAGTGAACCAACTCGTTGCCTGGTGTGACAACAACAACAACGTGTCACTGAACGTCAGCAACACGAAGGAGATCACTGTTGACTTCAGGAGGAAGCACATGGTACATACTCCAATTAAAATTCATGGCAGTGCTGTGGAATAGGTGGGAGGCACCAACTTCCTGGGGGTGCACATAAAAGATGACTTGACAGGGACTACAAAGCACAGCTTCCCTTGTCAAGAGGGCACAGCAACGTCTTCACTTCCTGTGATGTGGGGATGAGGAGAGCAAAACCTCCACCCAGGCAGCCCATGGACTGTTTAACCTTCTGTCCTCTGGCAAACGCTACTGCAGCATGTGGTTCAAACTCACCAAGAGCTTTTTCCCACAGGCCATCAGACTTCTCAATTCCCTATAACAATACAAATGCTGGCCTGATGACTGTTAAACTGCTGAACACACACAGGCAGACACATTTATTCAGCTCCCTTCTAAAATGCTGCTATTCAATGTTTCACCAATGTTTCACCACTCAAGCACCTTATTGAGTATCTCACAAGTGTCAAGTTTACATTACTGTTACAAGTTTACATTTACTGTTACTCCCAGACCGCCTGTGAATTTGGTCCGAGTGATTGGATCTCAGGACGTGTTCAGGGCACAGTTGGATGCGTTCCGACCTGAACTTAGCGCTGACCATTTGTGATCGAATCACCCAGGACGGATGTTAATACCAGGTCTGACCAGGGCCACTAACAAACAACTAATATACACTGCTCCAGAGTTCAAATAGTACAAGTCACAATGTCCCTGGTGCAGCCTGTACTTACTTCCAGTACTCCTCACTGGGGCTGGTCCTCTTGGTGCGGTTGACCACCTCGGTCACCCCCGCCACCAGGCTGGTGGTGGCATTGACCAGGCTGCTGTTGAGCGGGTGGCCACTGCCCAACACCCCGGTGCAGTCCGGCGTGTTCCAGGGGTTGTTGCAGTAGGTCCACGGCAGCAGGCTGGTCATGGACATGAAAAAGTAGTAAAAGGCGATGCAGATGACCACGTTGTAGTAGATGCCGATGTAGGTGGACACCACCATCATGCCGTAACCGACACCTGAAGGGAAAAGAGGAAGGGATGAGAAAAAAATGGAGGAACATCACAGGTACTAAAGGTGATTATGAAAACAGGCAGCTTGATATGGATCTTTTACGATGATATAACCTTTCACCTCTACCTTTACCTTTTTATGATGCACATGATCTATCTTTAGACCACTAGTTCAAAGAAATCAGCAGAATCAATGTGCTACACTCTAAACACACACACATTGGCCTGAACTCAACCTCGACCCATCGCACAAAACAGAACACTAACCTTTGAACATGGGGCTGATCTTCCAGACTCCCAGACATCCCTGGCTGGCGAACTGACCGAAGGACAGCTCGAGGAAGAAGAGAGGAATGCCGCAGAACACCAGCATGATGAAGTACGGCAGCATGAAGGCACCTGGAGGGGTGAAACAACAGGACAAAAACTCAGACACCGTCTTATGTTGGGAGTGCACATAATATACTAAGCTTCCCAATCTGCATATGTATTAAGTATTATATAGAACACAAGAAAAATTTTTGATGATGAAAAAAAATCAAGAACATTTAGGGGACTGATATTCATGTGTGTGCGGAATTTGGTGTTGATCCGAGTAAAAATCTGAATCTTGTCAATTTAAATGTGTTTTTTTAAGGGGACTGTTGGGCCTTGGTCTGAGGTATATACCATTCTAGTTTGTTGGCTAGCAAGATTATACAAAAACTACTGAACAATTATCCTTTTTAAGGCATTTTTCAGCATTTTCACAGATTTTCCACAGTATTCCCTTACAGAGATCTTGATGAAAATAAAAATCTGATATATTCAGATCACACTTAGGGGTCTGATATTTAAGGGGACTGTAGGGCATTGGCGGAGGTATGTGCTCTGCTGAGTAATACTACATAAATAAAACCTGTGACCGTGATCATAAGCTATGATCATGTCATTTAGCCTGTCATCAGGGTATTTCAAAAAACTAAAGATTAAAAAGACCTCATCTGTCACAGTAACATCCCCTGAGCGAGAAGAGAGGTCACTAAATGTGCAGCTGAGCCTGTTCACTGGTGCAGAAACTCTCTGGTGGTTCAGACTGGACCAGAAACCAGACATTCATCCATAGGGAATGTAGTGTGCATGTGTGTGTGTGTGTGTGTGTGTGTGTGTGTGTGTGTGTGTGTGTGTGTGTGTGTGAGAGTTTATTTTGTTTGTCTGCATGCGAACTAGGTCATCACAACCAGCTGTGACTGCACAATATCAGAACCTTATCACTCTGGCTGTGTCTGTGTGTGTGTTGCTGGTTAAGCTCAGCTCTCCTGATCCTTAACATAACACCTGCAGCTCTGTGTAAGTTCACTTATGTTGCACATACAGTCCTTGAAGGTCGGCTACCTGTGGGAACACCAAAAAATCTGCAGCATAACCCATGTGAGAGAGATGTCAAGGACGGGTCGGACTCATCGAGTGAGATGACCTCGCTCCTCTAAGAGATGCTAAATCATAGAATGGGTATAGAACACATTTAATCCAGAGTTTTTCGGATGCATTTGACTTGGGAGCAGAATGTCTCAGCAGAAGAGCACGAATACAGTCAAGCCTCATCAAGTTCTTTTGCCTTGTCTACAAAGCGAACGCAGCACAACAGCAGCTGGATCCATTCTATGCACTCAGACACATTTTGACAGCATTCACAGCCCAATAAACAATAATGCTGTTTCACTAAACGTGCTGTCGAACACGCTACTCTGAATTGAAGCTGTAGATGTATAAAGCCTGAGCTATTATGTGGCCTGTGCAGACAGCTGCATTCACTAACATGGAACATGGCTGACACATCTGGCCTGTCTGATGTATTGTAGACATTGAAGATTTGATATTCTGTTACACAAAAATACACATTGAGACTCATTTAGGAGAATTGTGCCAGGAACTGTCTATATACAGCAACACACATATTCCTGCTGTATGCATGTATAAATAAATCAAAGCCATATACTGACATTTACAAAGAAACTGTTGTATTTGGTTGATTTAATCGTTGTTACCTCCACCAATAAGGTTATGTTTTCATAACCTTTCATATGGTTATATTTCATTCCATGTTATGTCAGTACTGTGTAAAGAAGCTAGGACTTTAACAATTTACTATTTATTATTTTATTAATAGCTGGTGCAAAACAGGAGACCTAGCTGTGCACCATTTCCTCCAGTGCATATTCTACCTACATATCCTATAGACCTGTTTTTACGAACTGGGTCGAGGAGAGCCATTTTAATTTAAATATATTCATCAGAGTACTTTACATTTAATTGCCTAAAATATTGCTTAATGGGGCTTTTAAGTGTAACTTATAGTTTTGGCTGAGGTACCTCCTTCTTCAAGGTGGTACCTGAGTGTATATAAGAGATAAAATATTCAAAAATAAAGAGTAGTCCATGCTTGTGCTCAAACTTATTTGACTCAACTAATTTGTTGTTTGGACAGATTTCCATCGCTGCAGCGTCAAGTCATGGTCCTCTGTACGACACACAAAGAAGTAAAGCTAACAAACCCATAATGAGGACGGGGATATTTCTCTTTTCAACACTACACCTGGCACGATTGGGTAGTTTTGACAGAATGTTTCACATAAGAAAACCTAATTGGAGATTTTAAAAAATCCAAGAGCAGAGGGGAAATCTGACAGCAGACGTTTTACTGTGTGCACAGGACCAGTGTAAAAGCTGAAACTGTGACGCAGCAAATGTCCAAGCAATCAAATATCTGCGTGCACAGTTTAAGCAAAAAGAGAGCAAATCTAAGCCCAGGGTTATATTTGAGTGCTGGTGCAGGGTTTCGAGTGAAAGCATTTCACAATCTGAACATGAAATCAATAAGTTCTGCTTTCAAACTGAAACGCTCCCAAATAAAGATCGGGAAAAATTCCCTTTACACATTGTAAGTTTTTATCTGTACTTGCCAGCAACAATAAAGGAAATCAGTAACAGCTCGAGAGAAATGAGCGAAGCTCTGTGAGGAAAAACATACCGCCTCCATTTCTGTAGCAGAGATATGGAAACCTCCAGACGTTGCCCAGGCCCACAGCATAGCCCACGCTGGTGAGGACAAACTCAATCTGGTTGCCCCAGTTGCCTCTCCGGGAGTTTTCATCTTTCTTCGCTGGCTCGCCTGGAACTGCTCCGTTCTGCAACAAAGACAGGGAGACGGAGAGAGACAGAGGTGACTTCAGGTGGCAGGGAGGCGAGTGTGTTCCTGAGATAGCGCCGCAGCGGCAGAAGGTCCAGCCACTATAAGCAGGTTAAAACACACCTCATTTATGAGCACAAATCAGAAACGGATGTTCCGATGGAGAAGAGCTTCTTCAGAGGCCTCATTTATCGTGATGTTAGGTGTAGCAATGTTTTCATCAGTATTTAGAAACAACGGTGAACATTAAAACATATTTAGGGGCCGCATGTGGAGTTGAATTATTCATGTGGCATTGCTCGCACTCAGTTATTGAATATTCTCTGTAAAATACTATCTCCTCCACCCAAAGTCTGGCATAAGGTGGGTGTACTGGAGCAGACGCGATGTAAAGTGAAATCAGCGCCTTAAGAACAGCCCATAAGCATTTGGTCTTGTCGTCCTGATTTTCAGCCTCTCCTCTGCTTCCTCCATCACTCCATCTGCTGGCATCAGATGGTCCCTCTCCCCTGACCTCCTCCATAACCTCAGCTGTGTCTGTCCGTCTGCCTGTCTGTATGTGAGTGAGTGTGTGTGTGTGTTTGTTGGTGCACATGAAGACACTCGTGCTCTTGCAGAAAAATAAATAATGTTAATTTGAGATCATTTGTACACTTTTTGGTCAAATCTGACCTACTTGGAGTGTAAATAAAGATCAATTCATCAGCCATTAACAAACTATGAACTTAAGTCATGATCTTGGCTATTTTACAAAGATTTATTTCCAATCTGGCAGTTCACAGAGACATGGACACAATGCTGGGGTCAGTACTATGGAAATAGAGTTTGGATACCCGGGCCTGTCTGGACCCGGGCCAGGTTCAGACAAAAGTTTTGAAAATATATTGTAATCTGTAATTTGTTGTAATTTTAAATAAACTATCACACAGTTCTCCGATGAATGTTTGAGGTGGTGGTGTGTATCTTTAGTAAGGATTTGTTGTTATAGCCACTTTCAGACATGAACTTCGGAGAATATTGGCACAAGTGGGTCCGAACTTTCTCCAGTTTTCAACTTGATGAGCAGCTCGGCAGGAAATTCTCCACTCAGACACCGAAGTCTATGGAGGGCATGCAGAGGCTGGATGTATTAACTCTGCTGCAGAGATCATGTTTTTGTTTACAGCACATCGACACCCACATCGGCCCTTATCACCAAAACTCTCTTGAAATCTTCGTCTGTGGCTTCTACATGAATGGTACCACTTTTTCATATATATATAAATATACATACATACATATATATATTTTTTTGTTTTTTGCCATGTTAAACACTGCCACCCACTCGAGGTGAATCCTGCAGAGAATCTCCCGCTGCATTGACACTTGAGCTCATTCGCACATTCTGCTACGTGTTTACTTGGGGAGCTAGCGGCAAAAACTCTGCATTCTCACATACAGCCTGTCCAGAGAACGTCAGGTGATAATTCGGTGAACAGTGCATGTCTGAAAGAAAGTTAAGTACATTTTTTGGGGGAGATATTTTTGGGCATTTTAGTTTTTATTTGACAGGACCGTGCAATCGTGAAATGGGAAGACAAGCAGCTAAGACTTTGGTCAGTAACCTGCGGCTGCTACAAGAGGACTTAGGTACCTGTTAAATCAACTTTTATTAAAATATGATGATAAATGGTCTGAAAAAGACTAAAAATATTTGCCTTCTCTGGCCAGGTCAAGACACAGGATAAATATTCAGGTGCACAGATGATCTCACTTTTGCAAAAGAAGCCGAGATTGTTAACTGTTAACTTTTGAACATTGTAAATGTTTTTGCCAGTGGAATTTTGTTGCAGATATGAAAAGGTCTAAAGATTTGTTTGAAAATGTACGAGTCTCTACTGCTGGTCTCTGTGAGTGTGTGGTGTTCTAAGCCCATGAAGGCTGGCCACAGTTGTGATTGACACAATAATAAAAACTTCAGTCATGCAGCCTGTGTTATCTGTGTGTAGCAGAGTCTGCTGCTTGTTGAATGAATGGCCTCATATTTTCTTTGAGCAAAGCTTTCAATCTGACAAAAAAATTTAAATACTGATCATAAATACACACTTTTCCAGGGAGACTGAAAAGAGTGTTTCTGTGAAACGCCCATAGCTACACGCATGTTTTTACAGTTAAAGAGTAAAGAGATTTGATAACAGAACATTTTGTGTGAATAGGTTGTTGCAACAAAGCTTGAATAAGGCAATAAAATAATGTATTTAAGTTATTTATATTACCATATGACACACACACAACTCTCCCGAATTAATGCACTACTTCCGACCCAGAGTGAGACATCTTGTTCATCAGCCAAAAAAACAGCAACAGCTCAGAACAACATCCACATTTTGCCCCCATGGTGCCGTAGTTCAGCTCTGAGGCAGTGCCAAGCCTGACTAATGCGAGTGAGAGAAAAACAATTTGGACAGCAAAACAGCAACAACCACGAAAACACAAACAGCCAACATATTTCCCCCCCAAAGGTCCATAGTCTGTCTTCAAGTCTGACTGTGCTCTCATGTTGGGAGGGCAAAACAAAAAGGCTTTCTCCCGCATCCTTGACCGAGGCTGCAGGTGGGACAGACACCGAGGTCAGCACACACACGTGTTGCTGGCCAGGAGTTGCTCAGAGTGAACCCACGGTCACAGCAGTGCGCGGGGAGAGGCCCCCGGCCACGAGCCTGCTGTCACAGCAGGCCACACATTATGGCGTCATCACCCGCAGTTGACTTTGGAACAGTTCTGAAAAAAAGCATGCAGCTGTGTGCGTTCTCGCCGCACCCGACGCTCGTCTGTGCATCTTATACGACTTCCCTATCAGCAACCAGGTGTGGGCGTCCAAAACATACAAACACACACAACTCAGCCTGATATATATTAACTGATATATGTGAACTGAGAATTGGCCTCATGTGACCAGTGTAATGAGAGCTCCAACAGTTTGTCAGCTAATTCACCTTCCAATCATCATATAATGAATTAGCAGCTATCACGAGAATTAATTTTTATTTAATTTTTTTAAATTAATAAAAATAAAAAATAAATACATTTAAACTTTTATTGTGGAGAGAGCAGAGCGAGGTGACAGGAAATGGGGAGATACAACATACAACCCAGGTCCTGAAAAAGTTTCTCAAATTTGAGAATTTGCTACTTTGTCTTTGACAAAACATGAAAACATTTTGCACATGGATGTTTTCATGTGCCAGAAATAATATCCATATCTACATATATATACATAGATATTTAGTAATAAAGAGAAAACACTTGATATGTTATGAGAAATACCAAAAACTTCTATCTTTTTCTTTCCTTACTTAATCATTCCAGCACATCCACAGTATATAGAATATAAACCATTGTCAGGCAGCGCAGCTATCACATGTCACTTCTTTGTAACTTGAATAGCATTTGTTGTGTTACTGCTCATACTGAAGCATCCAGCTACAGGAAGAGTCTGGCCAACAGGTTCTCACAGAGAATGTGAACTAGGTGAAGCAGAAGTACAAAAGACAGAGGTAGTAAATTTATAGTCCGAACTGATAGTAAACAATGAGAGGTTGAAAATATTTAATAGGTTTCTCGGGGGGTTTGGGAATCGTCGACATGATCTACAAGTCGAAGCATTTTTAGGCCATATATTGGATAAACCCTTGTGGGCAGAAGTCAAAACTTTGCGTTCTTCATGACATCCCTCTCTTCCTTCACTGACCTCGATGTCTGCATCTCTGCCCAGGTGTTGCAGCCTGTGGCGTTGGCTCCCGGGAGCCCCCTGGTCAGTGAGTCAGACACCGACACTCCTCTCTCTCCATATCCCTTCATTTCTCTGTCACGTGCTGCTCTGGGACCATCTGGGCTTTACATAAGACCACACATGTCTTACCCCCCTCTGTCTCTCTCCATTCGGTTTGCAACTTTCCTCTCTTTCCAAGGTCTCTTTCGAGTGAGAGCGCTGACTTGGCTTAAACTCGCGTCTCTCGGCTGCTGCTGCTTAACAGGAAGCAGCCTATTAGACGCATTTAGAGACATTGATTTTGGTTACAGATTTGTGAGTACAGAGGACTTAGTAAGTGAAATAATGTTTCAAGTAGCCTACCTCTTACATGAAGCTCTTCAATGGTGTCACAACATATTTCATAACTTTCCGTAGAGCTCATATCTCCAGTCCAACAGTTCCTTTACATTCAATCAGGCTGCACTTAATTATAGAGAAAATGCAATCACAATAAACCATATTTATAAAGCACTTCTTTAGACCATGTTACAAAGTGCTTGACAGCAAGACGTTAAACCAAAATATCAAAAACCAGACAAGGCCGTAGACAACAAGGTCATTGGCCACATAAGAACTTAAGCAGTAAAACTAACTAAAACTAAATAAATAAAATCTCTATCAATAAAAGCAAATCAAATATTCCCAAACGCTCTCAAAAAGAAAATTGTTTTCAGACAAGATTTAAAAGAAGCTAGAGAGGGAGTGTGTCTGAGTTCAGACTCAGATATCAGTCTCAATATACCTGGGCTTTTTTTCCGTGAAAACGTCAAAACACACCTCATCTCACAATGTACGATAAAGAGGGAAAAAAATCCTGCATCTGCCCCTGATCTGCATCTGCACCAAAATCGTGGGCCATGCCCCCCCCCCCCACATATTTAATGGAAATCACTTCAGTAGTTTTTGCATAATGCAGCAAACTAACAAACTCCCTGGAAAACATGATGTCCTTGGCGGAGGTAATAATGGACGCTCACTCAGTGGAGATAATTGTATTAAAGTTCAAATCAATTCACTGTGATTTTTACAAGCTCGTGCACAGGTTGCACGTATGGTCTTTGTTTTGGTGAGATCAAGATGAGGTGAGTGATGTTAAAATATAAAAAATGTATGTTGCAGAATTATTTTTCTTATCCATTCTTTAACAGGTCTGGTGTGATGCTCATTTGTGGCTGCTCCCCTTGTCAGAAAATCAACAAGACCTA